TCAGCCAAAACCCACAAAACCTCACTGGGAAGTTTAAACAAGCCCTGCCTGCAGCTGGGAGCAGGTTTATCCCTGCCTCCAGCACCCTCCCTGGGGATATATCAAATGAGATGCAATGGGAAATTGAGGAGGGTAAATAGGGAAATCCCTTCCCAGAGTGGTTGTGGTGCAGGGAGGAGCTGGACCCATCTCCACATTTAGAGATCCTTGAGGCATCTCCTCCAGTCCTGTCTGTGCCCTAAACCTCCCTGGCAGCCTCGTCTCCAGATGGGTCCTGTGGCAAGAGATGCTGGGACCCTGCAGCTGCTGGTCCCTGCACCCCAGGGCCCCCACGTGCCACCGTGGGGACCTGGCTTTGGGTCCCCACCACGCCTGTCCCCTTCCCAGCGTGTCCCTGGCTGGTGTGGACCCCCTGTGTGATCCCCCCACCCCTTCAGCTCCAGCAGATAAACTCCCAGCCCAGGCCAAAGTCTGAGCCCCTCCCTGGTCGCCATGGAGAAGGCTGTAATGGTATTAGGAAAAGCAGCAAAATCATTAAAAAGTAGTTTTTAAACCTATTTAAACTCTAAGAAATCATTTACCTTCCCCACCAGCTCCTGCAGGTCCCTCCCCAGGGAGCTTCCCAGTCCCTTTGGGTGGGACATGTCACCAGCTGTCCCTGTTGTCCCTGCTGTGTCCCCGGGCTGGCTGACCTGGGCAGGGGACAGTGCTGGGCCACATCTGCTGTGGGAGCCCGGGAAGTCCCCACCAGGCAGGGTGAGTGACCAGGAACACTCTGAACACCAGGAGGGACAGAACCCACCCAAGGAGCCCTGGGGAGCAGGGAGGTGACATGTGTGGCACTGTCACAGCTGAGTTAGGGAGTATTTTTAGCAGATCTTGCCAAATATTGTCCCTGTCTGGAGGAGAGCATCTTATGTTGCCAGGGTAACTAGCGCTCCTGCTCCTTGTTCAGGACCAAAAACGTACCCATCGAGAGGGGAGGGGTGACACCAGCACCACAGGGCTTGTGCCATCTGCTGGGGACACCAGCAGGGACCCAGCCCCAGGAGTGGCACTGTGCCTGATGCTCAACCACGTTCTGGTCACCCTGGTCCCTGCTACTGGAGGCAGCTGCTGGTGAAGGTCCCCATGGGCATCTGTGAGTGCCACCTCTGCCCTGCCACGGCTGCAGAGCCTCGTGTGGGAGGCTGGGAACGGTGCCCGATGTTCTGGAGCTCCAGGCATGGCAATGACTGCCCTGGTGGCCCACGTGGCCACCGTGTCACCAGCACCAGCCTGGCCAGACTGGTTGGACTGGAGAGGTGAGGACATCCCCAGGACGTGACTCAGGGTGGTCAGGGCCATTGCTGGAGGCAAAGATGGGGAAATTCCCAGACTCTGAGGTGTGTGGGATAGAGGGGCCCTGGGAGCAGGGGTTTGGAGGTGCAAGAAGGCAGGGAAGGGCAGGAGAGCAGCGGCTGTCAGAGTGGAACTGGAGAGAGCAGAGGGAAGGGAGGCTCCCACCGTGCCTAACCCATCCTGAGGGCAGTGCCAGGGTGGGCAGGGACAGGGGAATGCAGCTCTCCATGTGCCATGGCAGCTCTCCAGACCCGGACAGGAGGGAGCAGCCTGGTGGGATGGGGTGGGAGGGGGCAGAGGGAGCAGAGCTTTCCTCCCGAGGATGGGGTGGGAGGGGGCAGAGGGAGCAGAGCTTTCCTCCTGAGGGATGGGGTGGGAGGGGGCAGAGGGAGCAGAGCTTTCTTCCTGCCCGAGATCACAGCCCCACCCCATCCTCCAGCGGCTCCCTGCCTGCCCCATCCCAAATCTCCTCCCAGCCCTGCAGTGAAGCGCCTGGAGGTGCCAGGGGGTGACAAATGGGATGTGGGGTGGCAGTGGGTGCTGGCAGCCTGTCGGACAATACCCTTTTCTGACCCAGGGATGGGGCTACTGAGAGGCGTTTCTTATCTCAAATTTTACATACAAACACATACCGTGTAAACCTTCTATCAAACCCTAAAAACTCTCTACAAATCCGTTTTCCACAGAACCCACAAACCAAACATCCCCTGGGCTGCATCACCAGAGGGAGCTCAGCAGGGCAGGGAGGTGGTTCCCCCCTCAGCCCCCCGGAGCACACACACAGCCACCCCAGGATGGACCCCGGGACAGGGCAGACCTGGGTGGGCCAGAGCAGATCCAAAGGGGACCCTGGAGGTGGCTGGGGGCTGGAAGAACCTTTCCTGTTCTTCCTGGGGTGGCTGAGAGGTGTTCTGCCGCTCCGTCGAGAGCTGGGGCTGAACAGCTTGGAGAATTCCCTGCGGCAGCCTGAGGGCTTGGAAAAGTGACACAGAAAAGCTTTTCCTCAAGCCAGGAGAAACGGTGGCGGTTTAAACTGAGAGAGGGTGGATTTAGGTTGGGTATAAAGAGAAAACGTGCTGGGGGGGGGATCGGTGGGAGCCGAGTGCCCGGAGGATTCCCCATCCCTGGGGCAGCAAGGCTCGGGCACCAAAGGCACCCCGGCTGGCAGCGTGCTCCCCTGGCACCCCGGCTGGCAGCGTGCTCCCCTGGCATCCCGGGAGGAATCCGGCAGGTCCGGGAGCAGACTCGGCCTCCCCGTGCTGGCGCTGGAAGCCAGATGGAGCCATCACTGCGCTGAGGCCGTGCGGCTCTGCCCAGAGCTGCGGGGGGGGCGGCCGCTCCCCTGCTCCGCTCGGGGTCCCCGGGGGGGCACAGGGCCGTGTGTGACCCTGGCAGGGCTGCAGGAGAGGTGACACCAAGCAGCGGGCTCGGTGCGGGGATGCCTCTCCCGGAGCTCCGTGGCTTTAGGAGCGGTTCCATCTGCTAAAGCCGCGCTCCCGGGGCTGGGTTTAAGTGAGTGAAACCCCTCAGGGCAGAGCCGGGATTTGGCTCTGGTGGGGTTGTGTGCTTTAGTCCGGAGCGGAGGTGGAGATTCAGTGACACCCCAAAATTTAATTTCTCAGCCCGAATCTGCTTTTTGTGGTGTTGCCCGACACAAAATTTGCGTTGTATTCCCAGCCCCTGGGAAAAGTGGTCACTGTCACTCCTGGCGCCGGTAGGGCACCTGGCACCCAGGTTATTTATTGCACAAATAACGCCGCGTGTGCATCTGTTAATTGCCGTTAATTAGAGCGGGCTCGCTGCGGCTCAGGGAGCAGCCGTGTGAGGGGTGGGGCTGACCCCCCTCAAATCAGGGTCTGGGGGGCCGGGACAGCATCCGGGGGCTGTGGGATGGGGGTGCCCACCCTTGGGGTGTCCATGTGGGGCTGAGACCCCCGGGTGCCCTCGGAGAGCGGAGCTGCTGCTCGGCTCCCCCCGCTCGGCTCCGCCGTGGGCAGGGTGTGAGCGCTGGGTGTGAAGAGACTGTGAATTCTCATCAACACTTCCACTGCCTTAATAAAATTACTTCAGGTCTGTTAAGTTCTTTTGCAGAAAAACAAGCCGTAATTGCAGGGTTTGCTGGCTTCTCCTTTCCCTGAGCCCCCCGAAGCGCTCAGCCCCTGGCTCTGGCCTCTGTGCCCCCTCACTGGGGGCTCTGGGACAGGTGAGCAGCTCTGCTTGTCATGGAGCTCTGTCGGGATGGCCCCTCTCCCTCTCATCTGCTGGGCTCTGACAGATCCTGAGGAGTTATTCAGAGCTTTGGGCTTTTTTGAACATTATATTGTCAAAGCTTTTTTTCTGTGGGAGACAGATTCTTACCTAAACTCACCCACTCTCCAGAAATAGCAGCAATAATAAGCCTGAAACAAGGAGATTAAGAGCTGGAATTCATTTTAGAATCATGGAAGAGTTTGAGTTGGAAGGGCCCTCTAAAGGTCTCCCAGTCCATCTGATTTCACCCCTGTTCAAGGTTTTCCAGGTTATCCACTCTGCCCTGCACTCCCTGTTACCCTCACTCTGACCCTGGAGATTCTCAAAACACTTTTGGCTGTGGGATTTGTCCCATTCCAGCCTGGCAGGTCCCAGTTTGGAGCCAGCAGCAGCTCCAGACCAGCACAGCCCAGGTTTGGCACTGTCTGTGCTAATCCAGGCTTGTTTCAGTGTGTGCTTTGCTTTAAAACATATTTTTCCACACAGCAGCTCTGATGTGAAGAAATTAATTGGGAAAGGTCTTTGCTGCACCAGAACTCAGAGATCCTGGGACCTCTGGAGCAGCTCTTTGGCAGGGGAGGTACAAGGACTGCAGGGATCAAGAGGAAGTTTCCTGGAAGAAAATCAGATACTATGGGATGGGCTTGGAGCAGGTGGTTGGTTTAGTGGGTTAATTATTGGGTTAATCAGCCCTTGAAATCACGGAATGGTTGGGGTGGGAAGAGACCTTAAAATCCATCCTGTTCCACCCCCTGCCATGGCAGGGACACCTCCCACTGTCCCAGGCTGCTCCAAGCCCATCCAGCCTGGCCTTGGACACTGCCAGGGATCCAGAGGCAGCCACAGCTGCTCTGGGCACCCTGTGCCAGGGCCTGCCCACCCTGCCAGGGAACAATTCCTTCCCAATATCCCATCCATCCCTGCTCTTTATTAATTCTAAATTTCTCCTCTATTACTTTAAAATCTCCCCCCCCCATCCTATCACTGTCCTATCACTGTCAGCCCATGTAAAAAGTCCCTCTCCCTCTTTCCTGTCAGCCCCTAAAGCACTGGAATATCCCTGCACTGGAGGTGGAGGCCATCCCTGCAGCCAGGTTTGGGAATGGTCCATCCAGGGGCTGGTACCCCCTCCCTGCCTGCCCTGGGGGTGTTCCTGAGCTGCTTGTTCCAGTCTCTGCTGTGGGCTGAGCTAGGAGAACTGAATCCTCCTGGGAGTGCCAGTGCTCTCCCTCCAACAGCTCCGAGGGCTGTAAGGTTTGGAGCCACCTTAAAATCCAGGTGGAAGCCTCTGGTAACCAGAGTTGGTAGCAACAGTGCTGGACCTCCCGGGAGAGGTTCCTTAGAGATCCTTCCTGGGCTTCTCAGTCGCTGCCTGCCCAGCCCTGTGCAGAGCCCCTGCCTCTGAGCACATGGACCTTGGAATCATTGCAGAAAGTGAGAGTGTGAGTATTCTGACAGAGCACCTTGCTGCCCGAAAATCCAGGTATGAAAGTCTGCAGCCCCTCCCCAGCTCGTGGAAGCAGCACTCTGCTAAGGGAATCCTAAGCACAGGGGAGAAATGGCTGCTGGAAAGGCTGGGATCTGTTCAGGCTCTGCAAAGCTGGATGTGCTGAGCTCTTCCAGCAGCAGGGTGGGCCAGGGGCAGAGGGAGAGGAGGGCCCTGGAGCTGCTTTGTGCCTCCTGGTGCAGCTGGAGGACAGGAACCAGGAGATGCACCAGCCTGGAGACCCGCGGGAGGAGATGGGGAAACTGCCTGGCTCCAGGATGGACTTCCCAACCAGGATGGTCCTCAGTGAAGAGGAAAAACTGAAGGTAAAACTTTGGGAGTTGGAGAAAACTGAGCTGTGATGGCCAGTTGATCCCCAGTGGGAAATCTGGGGGGAATTCCTCCTTCTGGGGGGGCTGTCTTGTGCTCAAACATCACATTGGCCTCAGAATCCAACCACGGCCTTCACTGAGTTTGTCTCTCCCAGATTTCCAAAGACCTCGTGGATCTCCAGATCGAGACAAACAAAATGAAGGAGCGTTATGAGACCGAGAACTTCCAGCTGAAAACGACGGTACCTAATTTGGGAACTGCCAATTTCAGCCCTGCCAGTGCTTCCCCCAGCTCTGCAGCTCCTAACACACCCACCCTTACCCTGCTTGCCATCTCCTCTGGCTTTCGAGGGAGCTGAATTCCCCCCAGCAGCCAGGCCCGAGGAGCTGCCAGGCAATGCCCTCTGGTTTGGCTGTGCTGCTCTGACCCTCTGCCCCGTGCAGATGCAGGCTCTGGAGAGGCGGCTGCAGGAGCTGGAGCAGGGCAGCGCCGGGCTCAGGGAGGAGCGGGATTCCCTGCGGGAGCGCCTGCACGCCCTGGAGAGCAGCCGGCAGGAGCTGGGGGAGGAGTTCATCATCCTGAAGAGCAATTACCTGGCCCTCGGCAGGGAGCTGGACAAGGAGGTGAGAGAGGCTGCAGGGCTCATACCAGTGCTCGTGCCAGGGGTTATTCCACAGATCCAGCTCCACCTCACGATCCCTGCTGTGCAGGGGCCTTGCTTGGCTTTCGTTTGTGCATCCCACCACAGCTCAGCTCCAGGGAGGCTTCTCATGCAATTGTACAAATGTTCTTGTTGAGAGATCCCTTAAAGGTCACCAAGTCCAGAAAAAACATCCAGTGCCACCCCTGCCATGGGCAGGGACACCTCCCACTGTCCCAGGCTGCTCCAAGCTCCATCCAGCCTGGCCTTGGACACTGCCAGGGATCCAGGGGCAGCCACAGCTGCTGTGGGCACCCTGTGCCAGAGCCTGCCCACCCTGCCAGGGAACAATTCCTTCCCAATATCCCATCTAGCCCTGCCCTCTGGCAGTGGGAGCCATTCCCTGTGTCCTGTCCCTCCATGCCTTGTCCCCACTCCCTCTCCAGCTCTCCTGGAGCCCCTTTAGGCTCTGAGGTCTCCCTGAGCTGAACACCCCCAGTTCTGCCAGCCTGGCTCCAGAGCAGAGGGGGTCCAGCCCTGGGGGCATCTAGACTCTCTCCAGCAGCTCCAGGTCCTGTTGACCCCCCCAGTCCCTCTCCAGCTCTCCTGGAGCCCCTTTAGGCTCTGAGGTCTCCCTGAGCTGAACACCCCCAGTTCTGCCAGCCTGGCTCCAGAGCAGAGGGGCTCCAGCCCTGGGGGCGTCTCCATGGGCTCCCCTAGACTCTCTCCAGCAGCTCCAGGTCCTGTTGACCCCAGCGCTGGGGCAGCTCTGCAGGTGGGGTCTCACCTGAGGGGACAGAGGGGCAGAATCCCCCCCTCCTGCTGTCCATGCTGGGGGCTCAGCCCAGCCCAGGGGGCTCAGGGTCCCAGCACACACGGCCAGGACATGTCCAGCCTCTGAGCTGTGACAGGCACAGCCTGGCTGTGGGATTGTCTCTGGGGATTTGATGTAACACAGCTCCCTCCCACAGGGCCTGCAGACCTGCCCGGGCAGCGGGGACAGGGCTGGGGACTGGACTGGAGACAGAACTGGGGACAGAGTTGAGGACAGGGATGAGGACAGGGCTGGGGACAGGGCTGGGGACAGGACTGGGGACAGGGCTGGGGACAGGACTGGAGACAGAGTTAAGGACAGAGCTCGGGACAGGGCTGGGGACAGGGCTGGGGACAGGACTGGAGACAGAGCTGGGGACAGAGTTGAGGACAGGGATGAGGACAGGGCTGCAGACAGAGCTGGGGACAGGGCTGGGGACAGGACTGGGGACAGAGTTAAGGACAGGGCCGGGGACAGAGTTGAGGACAGGGCTGGGGACAGGGCTGGGGACAGGGCAGTGCTGGCCCGCTGCTCCCCGGCCCCCGCGGGCAGAGCCCTCCCGCTGCCCCGGCGGCCCCACGGCGCTGCCCGGAGGTCACGGCGGGGCTGCCCGGGGCCGGTCCCCCGGCGCTGCCAGCGCGCTTTGTTTCCCTTTTTTCTGCTTGGCTTGAGCAGCCCGCACGTGAACGGATTGGAGCCGCTCTCATTTCGGGCGGCGGGAAGGGGCCTGGCGGCTTTCAGGTCGACAAGTTCATAAAAACACCGAATTCAAGCGAGTTTCTGGTGGTTCCTTAAGAGACAGACACCTTCCCGCTGACTGCTAGCTCAGCAATGATTAACCAGAGGCTTTTGGACCCAGATTTGTGTATTTCTTTGGCTACTTCAATAGCCCTTCCTTTGTCCCCTCCTCTCCCCCCTCCCGCTTCTCCTCCGTTTTGAATCGGATGCAATGACTGACACGCTCCTGCTCCCTCCCTCCCCCAGCAGATATTTGGTGCCTCAGCTCAGTGACCTGGTTTTCCATGCCGAGCTGTGCTGGGAAGATGTGCAGCAGGAATGCTGCTCTGGTGCAGTGTGCCCGGATGGGCTCTGGCAGAGCAGGACAATGAGCATCCGCGAGTTAGGGACCCTTGGGGACAGATCGTTTGTCTCCCAGAAGCTGAGAAACGGGAATTTCTCACAAGGAGGAGAACTCAGCTCTTGCAGGGGGTGATCCCACCCTGCGATCCCGTGGAGCACGAGGCAGAGCTGCTCTGCTCCCGGTCGTGCCAGGCTCAGGGAGGAATAGCTCAGCCGTCAGCACTCTCAGCTGCTTCTTGTCCCCAAGGGGGTGCAATGTGTTTGTCAAAAGCTGGATTTTCAGGCAGCTGACATCTCTAAATGATGGGTTTAGCAGGCTAGAGGTAATAACACACAGTTTTCACATGGATCCTGGGATGGTTCAGAGGGTGAAAGCACGTGGATTCAGTTCTGTGCCAGATAGCATCCTGAGGAACCACAGAGTCAAGGAATGCTTTGGGGTGGAAGGGACTTTAAAACCCATCCCATTCCACCCCCTGCCACGGGACCCCTTCCCCCAGGCCAGGTTGCTCCAAGAAGTGCTGAAGCGGGGCCAGAAGCCAGAGGTGAATTCCTTGGATGTCCTCCATATGCCGAGGAGTTTACCCCAGTTCCTTGGCTCCGACTCCCAAAAATCCCTGCCTGAAGCCAGCGAGGCTCCGGCTTGGCAGCCTGGGACTTGTCGCGACATGGGCCTCTTGCTCATTATGTTCCCAGTGCGGACTTTCCCAAAGGAAATGGGAAAAGCAGCCTGCGGTTCTGCCCCCTCCCCTTCCCGGCGCTCTTCTGGGGGAGACAATGAACCTTTTACACATTCCCAATTACAAGTGCTACTTGTGACCTTGCCAATATGTTGTCATGGCTGCTTGGCGCAGGAGCAGCTCGGCGAGCTCATTCACGGCCCCTTGTCCGGGAGCAGCCGGAGCCTCTGGATTGCGGCGGCTCCTTTGTCCGCGGGATCCGCGCCTGCCCCGGCCGCAGGAGCGGCCCTGCCCAGCCTTGGGAAGCGCCTCGCAGGAGATGCCAGGCAGGCACTCGGTGCCTGTTTTCTGACTCGCTGTAAATTCTTCCTTTTCAAGGCTCTGACCTTTCCTGGCTCTCCGTTTCCTTCTCCCTTTGTCCCCCGGGCTCGCGGCGGCTGCGGCGGCAGCCCCCGAGGGGGCCCAAACGCGCTCTGGGTTCCACGCCGGGGTTTTCCCTGGAGCCACGCCAGGCTCGGGAGCTCGGGAACGGCAGCGAAGCCCAACTCAAACCGGGGACTGCCCCCTTTTTTTTGGCTAAACAGGTCCTTGTGACCCCTGCGATCAAATTGTCAGGGCTGACAGCTGCAGATGGATCGCTGCGGGTCGGGGAACAAGCGGAGCTGTCTCTGCAGAGCTGTCAGGTTTCACAGCTGTATATCTCACCTCTTTGTCAGCCTCCTTTCTCCTCGCTCTCCCCCAGCCCACCCCGTGCTATCTTTTGATAAGCTATTCTCTCCACGGATGACTCAGATGACCTCTGCCTCCCATCCTCCCGATTCACTGCCATGGTAACAATTACTCAAGCTTGTCCCCAGTCATAAACCCCACCAGAGCTTTGTTATCTACACAGAAACTCTCCTGGGAGACATGAATTCCCCCAGTGTTCCCTCCAGATCACCTGTAACGGAGCTTTGCTCATTCAGATCCTCTTTATCTTTTGGAAATGTGTCACTTCACAGCAGCAGCACTCTGAATGCTGCCTACACCGGGCTGTGGGCTGGCTGCTGCTGGGGGAGGCATCCCGACCCAGCTGGGAATGTGTCATCTGGAGAGAGGGATGGATGGATGGATGGATGGATGGATGATGGAGGGATGGATGATGGAGGGATGGATGATGGATGGATGGAGGGATGGATGATGGAGGGATGGATGATGGATGGATGGATGGATAGATGGATGGATGGATGGATGGAGGGATGGATGGATGGATGGATGGACATGGATGGATGGATGGATGGATGGATGGATGGATGGATGGATGGATGGATGGATGGATGGATGGATGGATGGATGGATGGATGGATGGATGGATGGATGGATGGATAAGACTTGGCTCTTCTTACACTGTGGAGCCCAGCACTGCTCAAAGCTGCTCCGTGGGGAAGGATGTTCCTGAAGTGTTGGTAAGCTGAACAGAGGGTGCAGGGTGGGGGCGAGGAGGGAGCTGGAGACCTGCAGAGGTGGTGGCAGAGCTGTGCCAGGGCTGGCACTGAGGTCTGGATTTGGGTGTGAGATTGCAGAGGGATAACATTCCATGGGAATAACATTGCTGCATGGCAGTGCATTTCATGAGAAGCAGAAAATCACCAGTATCTTTGGATATAGGAGACAGAACTAAAATTAAAGCTTGATTTGAGGAGGGGGTGCCTGCCTGGAGCACACACCAGGAGCAGCAGGGATGTGCTGACCAGAGGGGGGTTTCAGAAGTTCTTTCCTTCTTGTTTGACCTTGCAGGTGATGAGGAATGAGGAGCTGACCCAGGAGCTGCTCAGCCTGGCCAAAGAGAGCAGCCTCCCCCCTGGCTTGGCCCATCAATCCTCCCAAGGGCTGGGAAGAGGGAGAGCAGCAGGACACCCCCGCTCCGCTCGGAGGGGGAAGGTGAGGGACTGTCTGCCCCTCCACCAGCCCCTTGGAGAGCAGGGATCTACCAGGCCCCTTCTTCTCTCTCCCCAAACCAGCCCGAGGATGCAGCTGCCTCTGAACATGAGCAGCAGGAGCTGGAAAGAAACGTGAGTGTGAGGGGTTCTGCTGCAGGATCCTTGGGAAGCAGAGGGGGATTGATTCCAACTGCGGCTGGCACCTCCTGCTGCTAACTTGAGTTTTGTGGATCAGCTGATGCCTTGATTCATTTTAAATCCTTTTTTTAAACCCTGCAGTTGCAAAATGAGACAGGAATACCTCCAGATGTGCAGGCAGAGCTGAGGAGGGCAGAGGTGATTCCCTGCGTCCATGCCCTGGCAGGGGGAACACAGAGAGGAGCTTAGAAGCCAAGAAGTGCAAAGGAGAAATTTTTCCCTTCTTTCTCACACTTGAGAAATCTGGGGGTGATGAAGCACCCAAAACTGAGAGCAGAGAGATGGTCCCTGCCTCCTCCCCATCTGCAGCCCTTGCAGAACCAGCTTGGGCTCCGCCACCAGCTCCTGCTGGGAATCTCAACGTGAGCGTTTCCCTCGGGAGAGCGACACATGTGTCCCTCCACGTGCCCTGGCTGTGCATCAGACACCGTTCCTGCCTGCTGCAGGGCACCAGCCCCTCCCAGTCAAAGCAGTCCTTCCCCCAGCACGGCACTGCTCAGCTGGACAAGTGCTCAGCTCGAGGTTCTCCTCACTTTGTCCTCTCTTCACTCAGCCTTCTGCCTCATCTTCCTCTTCGTTTGTCCTTCAGTTGCTTGGAAACCAGGATCACATAAAAGTGGAGCTGGAAAAACTGAAGAAAACATATGATGAGCAGCAGCAGAAGCTGGAGGAGCGAATGTGAGTGGCCAGGTGTTTGTGGGACTGGATTTGACCCATGGGAGCAGGAGAGGAGGCAGTCTGCCTTTGGGGGAACAGGGAAGGAATGAGGCCTGGAAGGAAAACCTGATGTTTTTAAGGCTCTTCAGAGCTGTCAGATCGAAGTTGGTGTTGTCCAAGGGACACCTTGAAAATCCACTGTCTGTGATACACAGCGAACGTGTGACATCCCAGAGATTAATCCAGCCCAGCCCTTACACACAGAGTGGATTTTCCATCACCTTGGAAAGGAGTTAATGTCCCAGGAAAGGCTGCCCCAGCAGGAATGCTACAGGACTCAACCCTCTGAACTGTGGAGGATGTTCATCTTTGGTGGGGAGAGATTTTGTGGCACAGGTTTACACACATTTGGATGCTGGCAGCTGCTGCTGGGAGATTTCTGTCGTTCCAAAGTGATTTTCTTCCCAAAGCTGCCTGTGTTGTACCTATGGAGAATGACAGTCTCAGAATGGGTTGGGCTGGAAGGGACCCTAAAGCCCATCTCATTCCACCCCTTGCCATGGACAGAGACACCTTCCACTATCCCAGGTTGTTCCAAGCCCGTCCAGCCTGGCCTCGGACACTTCCAGGGATGGAGAAGGAGTTTGGGCAGTTCAAATAAACCCAGTTTCCCGCTGTGTGTCCAGGCTGGCGCTGGGGAAGGAGCTGCAGGAGGCGAAGGGAGCGATGGGAGCCGGCCGGCAGGGGCAGGCGGAGCGACCAGCGGTGAGCAGGGGCTGCCACCCACCCCTCCTGAGCTGCCAGGGCTGGGGTGCCTTCATCCCAGGTGCTCCGACACCTCTCCCTCTGCAGGGAGCTTGTCACACCAAGGCTGTCCCTGTGCAGTTTCCTCCTGCACGTGGTGGAAGCGCTGCTTGCAAAACTGGTGGGAGGAATTTTTCTCACTGGTTTGCAGAAAGAGTTGGTGGAATCACCGGGGTGGGGGGTGGGAAATGACAGAAAGTAGCAGGGGAATAGGGATTATAAACATTTCCAGTGGGTTCCTCTGAAAATCCAGGACCTTCCCAGCTCTAGTGAAGCCAAAGGTCTGGAAATGAAGACCCTCAGCTCTGAGGAAGTGTCTCAGCTCCCGATCCCTGGCCGGAGGAGCAGGCCAGCAGGATTTCTGTTTGCTGTGCAGGTGCTGCTCACGTCCCAGGGCCAGCTCCAGGAGGTGGAGGCGGAGAACTCCCGGCTGCAGCTGCAGCTGAAGGAGCTGAACGAGGAATATCGCTCCCGGCTGGCGCAGCACATCAGGGACCTGGCAGTGGGTACCCCCAGCCCGGGGCCCTCCTGGCCCAGGAGGTGCCACAGAACCATGGAATATCCTCAGTGGGAAGGGATCCACAAAGATCATGGATCCAGCCCCTGTCCCTGCACAGACACCCAACAATCCCACCCTGGGCATCCCTGAGTTCATTGTCCAAGCACTCCTGGAGCTCTGGCAGCCTCGGGGCTGTGCCCATTCCCTGGGGAGCCTGGGCAGTGCCCAGCACCCTCTGGGGGAAAAACCTTTCCCAGAATCCAGCCTGACTCTGCCCTGGCACAGCTCCAGCTGTTTCCTCAGGCATCTCCATATTGACACCCTCCTCTTCTTGGCTGCTGCCAATAAATTAGAGTAAATACATAAAGAAAGGGTTTTTTAATCCCTGTAATCTGACCAAGAAAAATCCCAGCAGCAGCTCACTGATAATTTTGCATGGCCATACAGGAAATCTGGATGGGGAGCTGCCATAGAACCATGGAATGGGTTGGAAGGGCCTTTAAAGATCATCCAGTGCCACCCCCTGCCATGGCAGGGATACCTTCCACTAGAGCATGTGATTCCAGGCACTGTCCAACCTGGCCTTGGACACTGCCAGGGATCCAGGGGCAGCCACAGCTGCTCTGGGCACCCTGTGCCAGGGCCTGCCCACCCTCACAGGGAGCAATCCCTTCCCCATATCCCCTCTAACCCAGTGGGAAGCCATTCCCCCTGGATTTCCCTCTCTGTGCATTTACAGAACTACATGGACAGCAAACCCAGCAGCGTGACAGGACACAGCAAAGCCCCAGCTGGCCACGCTGCCATGAAGAGCTTTGTGGACAGGATGCTCAGGGACATCCGGGCTTCCTACAAGAGCCGGGAAGAGCAGCTGGCTCGGGCAGCCCGGGGCTACAAGAAACGCCTGCAGGACTTGGCCAAGAAGCACGAGAACCTGCTGATTGCCTATGGGTAAACCTCAGCTACCTCCTCCTTAGGGCCAGGTGGAAAAACCCCCCAGCAGCCGTGGCCTGCCCTAGGAGGAGGCGAGCAGGGCTCCCAGGTGGAGCAGAGGATCTGGAGTGCACATTTATCTCCCTGCTCCTGGCAATCCAGCATCAAGCTGCCTCCAGCTGCACATCAGGGTGCTCTGGACCCCATGGAGCTGCTTTGCACATATGTTCCTCCCACTTAAAATGCAGGGTGAGAGATTGATCCCACGGTGGATGGTGTGGAAATGCAGAGCTACCACAAATAGCTCCACCTCCCAGCCCGTCCCTGCAGCGCTCTCAGCTCTCTCGGCAGCTTGGGCTGTGGGAAGCAGCAGAAATACTCGTGGTAGAAAAGCCACAAATAGCTCTAGGACAAGCTCCCTTCAGAAACTTTCCCACTTTTCCTTTGCAGGTGGCCAGAACCAGCAGGTCCCAGCGAGTGGCACCCTCAGAGCAGCAGAGCTCTCTGCTGCTCCGTGGTGTCACCAAGAAGGGCGGGCAGGGACTGACCCTGTGCTGCTTTCAGGCTGCAGCGGGAGCAGATCCGGTCCCTGGGCAGCAGTGCCGTGGACTGTGGCCCTGCCGAGCTCCACTTGTCTATCCCAGAGCCTGAGCTGCTGACAAACAGCTCCCGGGAGCTGAACCGGCTGCGGGAGCAAAAGGCAAAGCTGGAGATGCAGCTGCAGGAGCTGCAGCAGGTAGGGAGGGGAGGGAGCTGGGCCTCGCTGGGAAGAGTTCCATGAGACCCTTCCTTAAGGCATTTGTAGGATTTGTTGGGTTGGAAAAACTCTCACAGTTCATTGAGTCCAACCATTCCCCCAGCACTGCCAACGCCACCACTGAGCCGTGTCCCCCAGTGCCACATCCATGTTTTCCCTGAGGGTTTGCTGTGCCTGGGGCACAGGCAGGGGACACAACAGTCATCCCCATGTGACTGAATCATGGAATCCCAGAATGGTTTGGGTTGGAAGGGGCCTTAAAGCTCATCTTGTTCCACCCCTGCCATGGCCAGGGACACCTTCCACTGTACCAGGTGGGTCCAAGCCCTGTCCAACCTGGCCTTGGACACTGCCAGGGATGGGGAAATGTCCTCCCACTAGGCAAATGTGGGTCTTTATTTAGAAATTCAGAGGATGGGAGATGTGAAACCTTCAGATTGTACAACCCATGGTTTCCTTGCCATGGCACTGGTGGCTGTGGGAGTGCTGGGATAGCTTGTGCCACTTCCAAGGGGCCTTACAGAAAAGAGGGAAAATGTATTTTTACATGTGCAGACAGTAACAGGACAAAGGGAATGGATTTAAGCTAAAAGAGGAGACATTTAGGTTGGATGTAAGGAAAGAATTCCTCCCTGTGAGGGTGGGCAGGCCCTGGCACAGGGTGCCCAGAGCAGCTGTGGCTGCCCCTGGATCCCTGGCAGTGTCCAAGGCCAGGCTGGATGGGGCTTGGAGCAGCCTGGGATGGTGGAAGGTGTCCCTGCCATGGCAGGGGGTGGGATGGGATCATCCTTAAAGCCCCTTCCAGCCTAACCCATTCCATGGCAGGATTTCTCTGAGTGGCAGGATCTGGGATTGCAATGGGTTCATGTTTACAGGAATTCTGTTCTTCCTTTGCCTCCAGAAAAGTCTGAAAGGAGCCTCTGCCTTCCCAGCGCCTCCGGAGCAGTAAGTGCCCTTTCTTTCTTGGGATATCTGCCATTCCAAATTCCCATGGATGTCTGGATTGAGGAATCTTTTTTTGCCTGGCTGGAGGCAGCAGTAGGCAGGGAAAGGGAGCTGCTGGGCCTGCTCTGGGAAGAAGAGGCAGCTGTCCCCTCTTCCTGCAGGAAGAGACTTGGTCACTGGGCCTTGATCCAAGAAAGCTCTTAAGCACATATTTGATTTAATCATGTTTTTAGCCCCACTGACCTCTTTAAAAGCTGAAGTTAAGCACATGCCCAATGCTTTGGTGGATCACAATGTGAGAGAGGCCTGTGAGACACCACCCATTTGGGATGGTCCCATTTTTCCTCCTTCCCAGCGCAGGAGTTTGTCTGGAATCCTTGGGTGGCACTGTGCTGACACCTCCTTGGCTTCCCAATTGTCCTGGGTTGACTCCCTGAACCAGAACACCAACAAACCCTGAAACTGCTAAATTTTGATGGGTCTCTTCCCCCTGCTCCATTATCCTGCTAAAACTCAACCAGCTATAGCTGTGGAGGGGTGGAACAAAGCACAGGAGAAACCTGAGCTGGGGCTTTTCAGCTCTCTAAAAGACGTGGTCACCTAGAAAACATGCCAGATATTCCATTAGCTGGATGCCAGCACTGAGGAGAGGGTGAGTGCCAGAGCCCCTGGGCTCTGGAGGGGTCTCTCAGGCTCAAGCCTGAGCCTCAACCAGCTTCTGCTACGTGTTCCACACTGAAAATAGCCGTGGTCCGTGAGTAAATGCAGCAATTCGGGCAGACACCACAGGAGCAGGGCATGCAAAGCCCACAACCTGAATTTCAGTAATGCATCTCATCATTTGGGTTTTTTTTAACTGCCACGAGAGCCCAGAGGCTCCAGGTTCTGCTGGGTTAAGCCGTGTGCTTTACCTGGCTCCTCCAGCCACAGAGGAGCCGCGGCGCTCCGGCAGCTCCAGCTCCAGCTGCCTTTGCCAGGGAATGGGCTGGGCTGGGAGGCACCCAGAGCCCAGCTCTGCCTCTCCCTGGGGGTTTCCAGCTAAACTACATAAAGAGGAAAGAGAAATGTCATTCAGCCAGGGCAGTGGTGGAGTCACCACCCCTGAAGGGATTTATAGGACACATGGATGTGGCACTTGGGGACATGGGTCACTGGTGGCCTTGGTAGTGCCAGGTTAACACCTGGATTCTAGTGGGCTTTTCCAACCTACACAATTCCACAATTCTGTGGTTCTATTCAACCTGGTTCTAGTTTAGGCTGAATCTGAATCAGCTTCCCAGTCTGGTTCCTGCTGGCTGCAGGGATATTCCCTTCCATGTCCTGCCTGTCCCTGTCCACAGCAACCTGAGGGAGTTCTCCACCATTCCCTGGGAATGTAAAGCTCATTCCCTGGGGATGTAAAGCTCCACACCTGCATGGGGCCTACCTCTGTGGCCAAAAGAAGGGAGATGTTGTGGCAGAGAGGCTGGAGTGGTGGGGAAGTGGTCAGAAGGTCGGACTCATGCAGCAGAGAGGGGCTGAGCAACATCACTCCCATGGCACGGATCTCTTTTTTTCCACATTTTCTCCACGTTCTGTGCCCCTGCAGGAGCACCTGGAGCAGCAGAGAAGCCAGCTGCTGGCTCGGGCTGTGGTGGCAGAGGAGCAGGTGTCAGAGCTGCAGGGGTACATCGACCAGCACCTTGCCAGGTGACAGGGGATCCCTCTCCAGGCTTGGTGCCAGCGCTGTCCCCGTGCCCACTGCCAGCACAGCCCGTGTCCCACTGCTCCTCCAGCTGTGCAGGCAGCTGCCACCACCCCTTGTGCCACAGGGCAGCAGGACAGACACACCTCACACAGCACAGGTGTCCTTCCCTGCATGCTCATCCCTCCTTGGGAGGAATCACAGTCACGGATTGGGTTGGAAGTGACACAAATGTTCATCCAGTGGTTTCCAGCTAAACTACATAAAGAGGAAAGAGAAATGTCATTCAGTTATTACTCTTTACCAAAAAGTTTTATCTTGGGTAAGGCTTTCTTATATGTAGAAGGAAAACATTCCAGGCTTCTGGAAAGAGACAAGTTGGAAAATGTGGAAGTGGATGACAAGACAGCAGAGCTCTGAGGGATGTTCAGGATGGTCAGCAAACCTTGGCTTTGACCTGTGTAACACATGTTCCATAGCCACAGGCCAGGCTGCGTGCCCTGAGGAGGTTTGGGCTGGAGCCCCTTTAAGCACTGGAAGGTGCTCTAAGGTTTCCTTGCAACCTTCACAGGAACCTAAAACCCAAAGCCTAATATAAAACCTTTAGAGTTCTTTTGTTCACAGGTTCTAACTCAAGTCCTCCCAGCTGCCCCTGATCTGTGTTCTCCTCTCCCTGGCTCTTCCTGCTCTGGAGCAGGGAGAACAGCAGGGAAGGGAGAGGACAAGCAGGGCAGGTGTGTCAGGGCATGATCCCCCTGCTCCTGCTGTGCCTCCCCGGCTGTGGGCTGGCTCAGGCTCTGCCCTCACCTGGCACAGCCCATGAACGCCCGTCCTTTGGGAAAGGCCATGGGATCTGCGTGCCAGGCTCAGCTCCTGGCATGGCTCACTGCCTGGGGACCGTGAGTGGTGACAGTGGCAGTGCCACTGCTCATTGTCAGCAGTGACAGTGGCACTTCCACTGCTCATTGTCAGCAGTGACAGTGGCACTGCCACACTGTTCGTTGTGAGGGGTGACAGTGGCACTGCCACACTGCTCATTGTCAACAGTGACAGTGGCACTGCCACACTGCTCGTTGTCAGCAGTGACAGTGGCACTGCCACACTGCTCGTTGTCAGCAGTGACAGTGGCACTGCCACTGCAGGTACAAGCAGGAGATCCTGCGGCTGAGGAACGCTGAGGGCAGCGAGGTGCCCCCAGTGCCCCGTGCCAGCCACGAGCCAGAGCAGCCGCAGCCTTGGGAACGCCCCACTGCAAGGGAGGTCTGTGCTTCACCGAGTGCCAGGCAAGGATCCCTCTCAGGCTGGGAGGTGGGAACAGCGGGAGAAACCACCTGGGTGTGTCTGCTCTTAAATTCACAGGAGTAAAACGAGACCAGACAATGGCGTCTGGCCTGTGCCCGCCAGGCTGCAGGAATTCTGCTCTTCCCTGAGCACCCCTCGGACACGGGGCAGGGATCCTAGGCAGCTCTTCACTGCTGGGCTGCAGGGACAGGTTCCTGCTCCTGCTGGAACATTTTTTCCTGGATGAGACCTGGACCTGGACCAAAGGCTGCTCCTGCCTCGCTCCCCTCACCCCTGAGACAGAGCCAAGGCTGGCTCAGACCAGGATTTGGTCTGGGCTTGGACAAAGGAGTGAGCTGCTCCTTTACTGGGAGGGTGGTGAAAGGCTGCCCACAGCAGCTGTGGCTGCCCCTGGATCCCTGGCAGTGCCCAAGGCCAGGTTGGACAGGGCTTGGAGCAGCCTGGGACAGTGGAAGGTGTCCCTGCCATGGCAGAGGGTGGAATGAGGAGCTTCAAGGTCCCTTCCAACCCAACCCATTCCATGATTCTGTGACTCTGTGGCAGGAAAACTCCATTTTCCTCTGTGTTTGAGTGGAAAATGGAATATTATATTGACAAGCAGGGCCAAACTGATCCTGCACAGAGGTGAGCTGGAAAAGATGGCAGGGCAAAGCCCAACTCCAGGAGCCGCAGCTGCTCCAACTCCAGGACCATCCAGCAGCTCAAAGACAAAGCAAAAACCTCAGAGGAATAATCAACCAAAACTTTATTTTAAAAGTTTTTAATTTAAAACTTAAATTGAAATAAAGCAGCAATCATCCAAAAAGAGGCACTGGAGCGTCATCCCTTCAATCCTGCGTTAACCCCAGGATTTCCAGGTCTGATTTTTCTCCTCCCTTGCTTTGCTCGCACTCTGGAGAAATGAAGATCTGCCACCCTGCAAGTCCCCAGGGCAAATGCTGGCCAAGCACTTCTTTCCTGAGCTGAGCCAAGGGCTGGAGTGGCTCTGACCCTTAATGCCAGGCTTGAGGAGGCTGCTGTTAAACCAGGCTTAACGAGGCTGGGGTCAGACCCGGCTTTCCGGGGCGCTGCCCTGCACTTCCCGCCGCACATCCTTGATGTCATAGGCCCAGACCTGGTCCAGGCCCTGGCCCAGGGTGCTGCTGGGGCTCCAGGAGGGGAAGGGGTAGCGTCCCGCCACCACCCGCGCCTCGTCGGGCAGTTCTGCCAGGAGCTTGCTGGCCAAGGGAGGCTTCTGGGGAGAGACACAGCCAGGGACAGGCAGCCTTAGGACACAGTCACACAGTGGCAGTGCCACCAGGGACCGTGGGGCAGCTTCTGGGACATCGACCCTTCAAAGCAGAGGGCTGGTACCGGCCCTGGGTAAGGCTGGGACTTGGAGCAAGCGGTGAGCAACAGGACAAGAGGAACGGCCTCAAGTGGCATCAGGGGAGGCTCGGGTTGGATATTGGGAAAATTTCTTCATGGAAAGGGTGGTCAGGCACTGGCACAGCTGCCGAGGGCAGTGGTGGGGTCAACATCCCTGCAGGGCTTTAACATGGATGTGGCACTTGGGGACATGGCTCAGTGCTGGGGGAATGGCAGGACTCCATCCCAGAGGGATTTTCCAACCTCCATGATTCCATAAATCCAAATGCTGTGTAGCACCAAACCACTCAGCCACAGGGATGTCCACTTGGCCTTATCCCATCCCAGATCCCCTCTGTTTCCCAAGACAAGCCCCCTCGAGCTGGCCCAGAAGAACTCGGGGTGTGAGGGGCTGACTCACCACGCTGGGGGCCAGGAACACGATCACGTTGTGGCAGTCAGAGAGATTCACCTGAAAACAGAAGGAAAAGGGGAATAACGAGCAGCAGGCAGAGCAGGAACAACTGTTTGAGTGTCCAAACCTTGTGGGTGATCTTTGGAACCTTGCAGGGAGCAAAGATGCCACAAAAGATGTGGGATGGGGAAGTGTGGGTGTGAAAGCAGCATGTCTTGGGAAACACCTGCCCCCAGCACCATCCCAGACCAACATTCCCTGATGGATTCTCTCTGCTCAGGCTGCAAATACCTCATGTCAGCCTGAGTAGCTCATCTCTGCAAGTGAGCCTGTCAGCAGCATTCAGACCGCTCCTCAGAGCTGCTCCAAGCAGCAGAACTGGCCACGGGCTGCCCCAGCTGGCATTCCCTGGAAAGCAGGATGGCTTTCCACCTCCCAGGAGCAGTGTGGGATGGGGAAGGAGCAAGCAGCCATCAGCAAATCCACCCTGGAGAGGCAAACAGAGCTCTGACCCTGTCTTGAGCACATCCAGACCCTTGGGATGCTGTTACCTTCCACAGATCCTTCTTCAGGAAGGAGATCTTCCCGTGGTACCCAGCCTTCCAGGCACGGTAGTTGGCCAAGCACAGCAGCCAGGGGTTGAGCTCATAGCCCAGGGCTGGCCTCAGCCCCTGCTTGTAAGCCTCAAGCACCTGGAGGGGGAGACAGGGAGGGCTGAAAGCCAAAGCACCCCCGTGCTGAGCCTGGGGCAGGATTTGGGTGGGCAGGGGCTGCTGCCCAGCTCCACTCACCCCATCCTGCTGGCTCCCAGGCAGGGTGAGCTCGGAGCTCAGCACCACCCACGCCCTCATTCCCACCCTGCTCCCTGCATGTGTCTTTTAGAGCTGCCAGAGATCACCCATGGCCATCTAGAACCACCCTGGACCACCTAGGGCTGCCTAGAACTACCTGGGGCTGTTTAGAGCCACCTAGGACCATGCTGAGTCACCTAGGACCACCAAGGACAGTCTGGGACCATCTAGGACAGCCTAGGGACACCTAGAGACACCCAGGACAATCTAGAACCACCTACAGCTGTCTAAGACCACTGAGGACCCTCTGGGTCCGCCGGGGATGGTCCTGGACCGCAGCCAGGAGGACCTCCCAGACACACAGCCACAAGCCAGGCAGCAGCCGGGTGGGGGTCTCCCCTCCACCCTCGCCCCCCCGGACACCCCAAACCCCCCGGAGCCTTACGAGCCGTCCATCTCCGGATCCCAGATCCACGGTCTTGCCGGCGCGGCCCCGCAGCAGTGCCAGGGTGTTGGCCACCTGCCGGGGGCTGGAGGGCTGGTAGGGCACCTGGGGGGCACAGCGGGTCAGGGGGCCGCGCAGCGGGGCCGGGGGCAGGGCTCGGGGGGCCGCGGTACCTGCAGGCGCAGCGGGACGCGCCGGAAGCCGGGCATCAGCAGCACGGCCCAGGTGGCCCACACGGCCGCGCCGCTGGCCACGGCCAGCGCCAGCAGCCCCCGGCCGCCCAGCGCGCCCCCGGGCCGGGCCCAGCTCGGCTCGCCCGGCTCGCCCGGCTCCCAGCCTGGCTCCAGGGCCAGATCCCAGCCCGGCTCCATGGCCGCCGGAAGGGGAGGGGAGCACGGCCGCGGTCCTTCCGCCGGGAGCGGCCCCGGGACACCGGGGACACGGGGAGGGCACGGCAGGGACACGGCCAGGGACCCGGCCCCGGGACACCGGGGACACGGGGAGGGCACGGCAGGGACACGGCTCCGGGACACCGGGGACACGGGGAGGGTGCGGCAGGGACACCGCCTCGGGACACCGGGGACACGGCCCCGCGGGAGCCGCGCTGCCCCCGCCCCGGGGCTGCAGGAGTGGCACAGCTCGGCGTGGTTGTGTGCGAGTGTGGACAGGGGTGTGTGTGTGAGTGTGTGTGTGTGTCGGTGTGTGAAAACAGCTGTGTGTGTGTGTGAAAACAGCTCTGTGTGTGTGATAACAGCTGTGTGTGTGTGTGTGTGTGTGTGTGTGTGATAACAGCTGTGTGTGTGTGTGTGTGTGTGTGTGTGTGTGTGTGTGTGTGTGTGTGCGATAACAGCTCTGTGTGTCTCTGTGTGTTGGTGCAGAGCTGTTTTTGCTCCAGGGCAGTTCTGCACAGTTGGTGTGCACACGTTTGTGTGGAGCTGTGAGTGGTGAATGGCTGTGCACTGCTGTTTGTGTGTCTGTGTGTGTGTGTTTGTGTGTGTCTGTGCAGGCTGTGCACGGCTGTCGTGTGCAGGGGTCTGCTACTCTGTGCTGTGCACGATGGGCTGTGTGTGCTGGGGAGCAGCTGTGTGTGTTGTGCACAGTTTGTGTGGGGCTGTGCAGGGCTGCACTCTGTGTCTGTGCACAGTTTGTGTGGGGCTGTGAGTGGGTGCACTCTGTACACAGTTTGTGTGGGGCTGTGAGTGGGTGCACTCTGTACACAGTTTGTGTGGGGCTGTGAGTGGGTGCACTCTGTACACAGTTTGTGTGGGGCTGTGAGTGGGTGCACTCTGTACACAGTTTGTGTGGGGCTGTGAGTGGGTGCACTCTGTACACAGTTTGTGTGGGGCTGTGAGTGGGTGCACTCTGTACACAGTTTGTGTGGGGCTGTGAGTGGCTGCAGCTCTGTCTGTGCACAGTTTGTGTGGGGCTGTGAGTGGCTGCACTCTGTCTGTGCACAGTTTGTGTGTGGCTGTGAGTGGCTGCACTCTGTGTCTGTGCACAGTTTGTGTGGGGCTGTGAGTGGCTGCACTCTGTGCACAGTTTGTGTGGGGCTGTGAGTGGCTGCACTCTGTGTGTGCACAGTTTGTGTGTGGCTGTGAGTGGCTGCACTCTGTGTCTGTGCACAGTTTGTGTGGGGCTGTGAGTGGCTGCAGCTCTGTCTGTGCACAGTTTGTGTGGGGCTGTGAGTGGCTGCAGCTCTGTCTGTGCACAGTTTGTGTGGGGCTGTGAGTGGCTGCACTCTGTGTCTGTGCACAGTTTGTGTGGGGCTGTGAGTGGCTGCACTCTGTCCACAGTTTGTGTGGGGCTGTGAGTGGCTGCACTCTGTGTCTGTGCACAGTTTGTGTGGGGCTGTGCAGGGCTGCACTCCGTGTCTGTGCACAGTTTGTGTGGGGCTGTGAGTGGCTGCACTCCGTGTGCGGCTGTGTGTGACTGAGCACGGTTGTGTGCAGCAGTGAATCGTGGTCCAGCTGTGCACAGCCAGGTACAGCTGTGATCGGCTGTGGCTGTACTGTGACACACAGGTCTGTGTGTTTGTGCACTGCCGCACAGCTCTGTGTGGCTGTGCAGGGCTGTGCACACCTGTCTGAAGGGTTCTGATGGCTGCACGTGGCCGTGCACAGCTGTGCACAGAGGAACATGGCTGTGTGAAGCTGTGGGTGTTGTGCAGGTCTGTGAGTGGTTGTGTGTGTGCTTGTGCACAGGTTTGAGCAGCTGAACACGGCCCTGCAGGGCTGTTGCAGCTGTCCTGGTGAGCAGGGTGAGCAGGGTTGTGTGCAGTGGTGCCCAGCTGTGCACAACTGCCTCTGCACGGCTGTGTGTGCATTGCCACGTGCAGCTGTGCCCAGCTGTGTGCAGTTGTGCACGGTCCTGCACGGGTGTTGACACTCCTACTGGGCTGTGCATGGATTTGTGTGTGCTTACTGCTTTTGTGCACAGTCCTGTGTGAGATTGTTGGGGGCTGTGCACACCCATGTGAGGTTGTTGGGGGTTGTTTGGGGCTGTGCACCCCCGTGTGGGGCTGTAGGGGCTGTTTGAGGCTGTGCCCACCCGTGTGGGGCTGTAGGGGCTGTTTGAGGCTGTGCCCACCCGTGTGGGGCTGTAGGGGCTGTTTGAGGCTGTGCCCACCCGTGTGGGGCTGTAGGGGCTGTTTGAGGCTGTGCCCACCCGTGTGGGGCTGTAGGGGCTGTTTGAGGCTGTGCCCACCCGTGTGGGGCTGTAGGGGCTGTTTGAGGCTGTGCCCACCCGTGTGGGGCTGT